GGGGGGGGGGGGGGGGGGGAGGGAGTGGGGGGTGGGGGGTTAGCATATCACTGAAGGTATAAAAATATTACACGAGACACTTGGTTCTTTTCTTGCCCTCTTAAAGAAATGTAAAACGCGTTTCACAATAGCAGCAGCAGTAGCAGCAGAAGCAAAGTGGGTTGAATGGGACTCCAAGTTCTCAGTATCTGCGACCCCTCCACCGGTGCTTATTTGATGGTTGGGGGTAGAGTTTATCCCTTGGCGTTGTTGGAGCTAAAACGAACTCAAGATAACCGTCTTCATTTATTCGCATAGTTCTGTAACCATAGAGAGACTCCTCGTATGCTATGAGCTGCCGCCAGAAACCAAGATTCGGCTGTATACAAGGTCTGATTGACATGACCCTATTATATGCCTCGGCCAGATTGAGTCGTTGGTATTTCATGAGATAAGCAAGAACGATTGTGGCTGACCGCGAGATTCCGGCCATACAATGGACGGCTGTTTTGCCACCGCGCCTAGCCTCACGTGCTATTCTCTCCCCAACCTCATCGAAATGGGAACGCAGATTTGAGTAGTCAATGTCATCGACTGGGATTTGAATATGACGTTCCACCTGGGCAATGATCTCGCTGGGAATGGTTTCGGGCATAACTGAAATCACCTGGGTAATGCCCTTCTGGTGAAGGCGTTTGGAAGTTAGAGCCTGGAGACTGCAGAGGTAGAGGTGATCATTAATGCGAGCTATCTGGCCAAAAATATCCTGATTTATGTGCTGGCATTGCTGGTGGTTGCAAGTTGTTGGTCTGGGACCATTCCAATCGATTGTTGATGATGTAGGAATGTAGTAGCTCAAACCTGTCATCTTCTCTCACTGTTCTCTCAATTGCTGAAAGGAGTGAAAATGCTCTCTTAAATTAGCTAAAGCTTTGCTTGCACGACCTTGGTGCATTCCCATTGGTTCTGTGAATCTTAACCTATCACATTCCACTGATTAACGCGAATTCACGTGATATATGAAACCACTTATCAATGAGAAAACATGCAATATTAACCAATTTATTTTTAAAGTGACAGTTTGCAATTATAAAATATTTAAAATAAGACCTAAATAACTATTTAAATTTAAATTATAAAATTCGCAAACGCATAGCAAGCACGCAAGCATTCTTTGGAGTTTCAAATAGCTTATCTTTTAAAAATCTGTAAGATTATTTGACTTAAACAATAATTATATTGATAATGTTTTTTAAATATTAAACTTACCTTTAAAACTCTATATTTGTGCACTAATAACTCAAGGTTTAGAAAGTCAGATACACTCGAAATGCATTTTACATGGAAATTTCAGATTTCGGGAAACTCACCCAATTAAATCCTTGAATAGTCACCAAAACAGCTTCAAATGGATGTGATGCCAGTCAATGACTTTCTTAAGGGCTTCGTTCAATTTTATTTCTTGATATCATTTCAGCCCGTTCCACCTAAAAATGAATGACAAAAGGCAACGTGGCATCAGCATTTTCATTCGCTTTCTTATGATACTTTAAGTGCACTGAACCGTGTGCTGAAAATCACAAGTAGACAGCGTCTTCAACGATCTCAACAATTCAACATAATATTCTCTCCTTCTTAATCACTTGTACCAAAATTGAGTCGGCACGTGGAAATTTTAATGAAGCACCTATCACATTATTTGTCGCCTCTGTAAATTACAAGAGCTGCTTATGAGTAAAGTCAACTGTTCTGAAGACAGACAGTCAGCTTCAAAAGAAAACAGTTGGAAAATATTCAACGTAATTGTTCTTAGTTTGCTCCACTTTTCGGCCTATCCCCAACAGTCGAGAGTAGAATTTTGTCATTGAATTAGCACTGCGGAACATCATAGGCGTGAAAGGGCCTTCCAATTTTGATTTCGCAATTATGAATCCCTTATAGTGACAACTACCCTGGACTTTCTTTTGTTTTTATATTAAAATGTCACGTTTACTAAATGATTCGGCTATTGGCCTGGAAACCCAATTCGTCGGCTTATGAGGGTTTATTTTTCTTTCTGCGAAAATCCATTTTAATTTCATCTAATTGTATTAATTCTAAAATGTAATTTATAACTGAATATGTTAGTTGATTAATGACTGAAGAGTTTTAACTTTATGGGGAAAATTTGAAGGTTATTCTTAAGTGAAGTTTCCTTTGGGCGAAACGTACCACATGGTATAATCTTATTAGCCCCCAAATTAGCTCCAAATGCCCCACGGCTCAGACGCAGGACTGAATGAAGGGTGGACATCTTTCACTCCGTTTACTCCACTTAAGCATTTCACAATAGTCACGAAAAGCAGCTGACTTTCGAGGAAAGAAACGAATTTGGAGGTTTCTTGAATGAAATGGATAATTTATACGTTAATTTCACTTCATTCATCTCTTTTTGGTGAAATAAAAATAGAAACAGGAGTACCCCAACTCCCAACGCGCAGTCCCGTGGGAATGCAGAGGAGATTGGCAATAAAATTCTTTGGGAATAGCGGCTTGTGCTCAATTGACAGGATTTAAGCAAGTAATGAGAAACCGTGTCGGTGACACGAATGTACTCCAAGAGATTGCATCATCAGCCCACATGGAAGTTGGGGGGACTTGAGAGGGAAAGGTGCCTGCTTAATAGTGAATGCTAGGCATAGGTTTATGAGTACTTATAATAACCAACTTGATTTGTCTTCGTTTGGCGAATTTCGTAAGCATCTTATTCCTGAATACGTATTTTAATAATTGTCTGCTTTTACGTCTTTTCAAATAATTAAATTATAGGTCTCAGTAAACTTTTGCAATTTCTTACTATGGAAAGAAAACGACGTAATTCGATTAACAGCAAGTCAAGTAAGTCATTAATGAGAGAAGAGGCTGAGTCGATATTGAAATTTAAGCCAAGATTTCCGAGTGTTTTTCTTTATTCATTATTTTCTATTTTATTGGGCAATGCAAATACCGAAATGAAGACTTTTTAATTTAGTATGGGTGAGCCATGGATTAAAATCTTTTCCGCGTTGTGCAATCGCAGGTGACTTCTCCGGAGTGACATCGAGGAGGCTTCAGAGTCTGAAGGGACAGGATGGTTTTAAAGAAAGATTTCCCCAACAATAGGTTCAAAATATTGACAAACGGAGCTTTTATTGTCTCAAATGGGAGTTTGTGAGGGGTTTGTTAGAGTTCAATCCATGAACTCCGTTCATCTTGTCCTATAAAAAAACTCTAGTGAGCCATAGTTATTGCATCATCATTTGGTAGGCTCTTGTTATGAGATCTATCTGAACCTATTTTTAGCGGATATTTATATTTGAAAGAGGGTAATTGAATGTGCTGAACCCGATAAATCTGTTTCCATAGCCAATGCAGATTTTTGTTTTTTAGGTATAAATTATATAACAGAAAAGAAAATTTCATTTTCATCTCATTTTTAAATAGAATAAATATAGTTCCAATTTTAAATATAGATTTCCGAATTAGGTAAGTCCATATGCTTTAGTCGGCAAAACCAGGACTGATTCATTTCAATTATGGTAAGACTCTTCAGGATTAAAATTATCTCGTTTTATTCAACTTATAAATAATTTTAGCCCAAAATGAACTGTCCTGTGCGGTCAATAAACGAAACTAATTCACTGTTGAAATTCAAATAGGATAAATATTGGCAAGATTCAGTGAATTAATTTTTATTAGGAATATTGAAATACGTTAGGCATGTTTATTGTTCCAATTTTATTCATCGGTTTATTACATCACTTCCATTTAGGTTGACTGTTTACGCCTTTCAATATGCCGGAAACTCCTAACACAAATACGAAAGAATTTCACAATATTTATGACGATTTTACTGTAGTTGCACTCTACGGATCTAGTTTAAAAATCATAGAAACGGCGATTTTTTACTATAGCTCACTTAATTAAAGACTATCGTTAGTAATTACGATCATTTTTTCAAATAGTTCCAACCAAAAGAGCTACAACATTAAAATAAGCCATTTGGTAACGCCTTCAATATTGCAATGCAATAATAATTTTTCCCATAAAACTTAGTTCCCAATGTAATATTGCACATCATGAACCTTTTAATTCGTGAAACTCTTAAACCCGTTTTTGTTAAAACAATGTTATTCACGTTAAAGATGCATATGAGGTTTAATAAAATATCGATTGGAAAACGTGCTCCGTTTTTACTATGTTTAATGTGTTATCGAGTTGAACTGGTATCTAACGAGTTTTCCGATGCCCTTAGAGTAGTTTACGGTTTCCTATTGTCGAGAGCAATTTATAATGAGACATTAATGTTAAAATATTCTTTGCATTAAGAGCTGTTGATAAATAACTATATTTTATTTGTTAAGGATATGAACGTCGTAGATGGAAATAATGGACTTTCAGCATAATGACTGAACAAAGGTAAAAATGATTGTGCACTTTAAGGGAGTGAATACTATTATCAAACCTTAGATTTGAAATCGCTTTCTTTTTTATATTTCTGTCAGTCACATTATGAAGGGCTAGGTAACTGATGACTTCCTATATACATCATGATAAAATTCATCTGCAGCTGAAAATATTTGGCACATCAGGAAGGAAAATTAGTAAGATAATATAATTTGCGACATATTCATAGACCTCTGCATTTCAGTTTCACATTTATTTTAATTTTTAAATTCATTGATGCATTTTAATTTTTTGAACTATTAATAAACACCAGGTTGAAGAAATGCTGTTAGAGGTGGGTGTAATGAATGAGCAATTTTGCATAAAAATATTACAGGAATATTTTGAAGAAAGTAAATATTGTGATCAATTCTGTAATAAATGGATTAATAATATAAAACTAATTAATACAATCCATTTTTTCTAAATTTACTGCAGGGTTTTTAGTACTCGCTAACACGTTTAAAATGATAAACGTGTTTAAAATAAATAAAATAATTAATTTTTGAAAGAGTTCAGCTCAATAACGACTTATTTTCTTATTAATAAAAGTCATTCATACTTTATAAAGACTCTCAAGGTCAATTTCTTTTACTCTACACGAAGTCCACCAACATATTGAATAAGCAATACTTTACTATCGGGCGTCAAGGCTATGGGCGAGAAGAGTCAAAAGCCTGTTCCGAAATATATGAAATTTGTTCTCGGTGGTTCTGCTGGGTATTTCATGTTTCAATTCGCTTGTCATTGACCTCGTATTGCGTTTGTTTTTTTTGCCATTATTTTTGTTGTGATTATATACCTATTCAGGTGCTTATTCTTGTTTTATCCGTTAATTTTAATTGCTGCCTTTTATAAATCTTACAGAATGATGGCCACTTGTGTTGTCCAACCTTTGGATTTGGTGAAAACACGCATGCAAATCAGCGGTAAGTTTTGAAATGTTCTCTCTCTCTCTCTCATTATACTTGCGCACACGCACACACACACACACACACACATAAATAAGTAAATAAATAAATAAATATGTTTATTGCTCCTGATTATCCCCTTCGGTTGTTAATTAATTTAAAACATTTCATATGCCACTGATTGTTTCTTCTGAATGAAACGGGTCTAATTCGTACCTTCTTTGAATATTTTATTCATTTAGCCAAGAATTTCACGCCTTGTAATGTCTAAGGAAATGCAATTTTCTAAATTTTACTTAATTTTCCCTCTGCATGACTAAATTTCGCCTAATTTATTGCAACTTTCTGTAGCCGTTTTCATTAAATTAATGCTTGCTCAACTTTGTGAGTTAATTTTTCTACATTCATTTAAAATTATCTTTTTTGGTGGCGGTTTTGCTGGAATTATTAAGGCTAACTTAATCAGTGTGACATTGATTGTATTTACGCTTAAATTCTTATAGTAATTTACTCCTTGGTGAAGGTTGTAGAATTATGAGTTTACTATTCTTAAAGAAAAGTGTATTTTTAACTGCATTTAATGCTTAAGCCTCTTTAATTCACTGAAGGGGAATTAATTAGTTAATTAATTGAATTAAAGTCTTGCCTATTGATGCATTTTCTTGACGACAGGTGAGGGCGGAGCTGCAAGGGCCTACAACAACACATTCCACGCGATCAGCTCAATCGTGCGACAGGAGGGTGCTCAGAAGCTCTACACCGGGTCAGTTTATTACCTTCTTACGCACATTAGTCTGGCGACGTTTGTTCAAGTACTTTTTCGTGGACATCGCTTCCCTCTCTCCATCTTCTCATTATTATTATAGGTGTTACTGCCTCATTCATCCCCATCTTGACAAAGCTCTCTCGCCTTGCTCACCTCCTCCACCTCCTATGGTCATTCCATCATGCGAATCTGTGGGTTTCGGGTTGTCTGCTTGTGACGCTGCATGCTTGTCATCCTCTAGTCATTTACGGAGCATGGTCCTTTTTCTGTGTTTATTTTCACAAATTTTCTAACTTCCTTGCGGCGTGTGTTTGCACAAGTTTGTAATACCATTTGAGACTCGATGTGTGGGTGTGTCTGTGTGTGGGCCATCTGCCCACCTTGAAATCTTGAAGTCATTCGCGGTGACCTTCTGTGTCTAGACATCTATGTGCATGTATTTTATATAAATTGAATGTTGAAATCAATTGGTGATTGATTTTCACCGTTACTTTAGATCTTAACTCAATTATTATTTGATTTGATTTACCACCATTGCTCCCATCGTCTCATCTTATGATGTTTCTCTTTTTCGCTTAAAACGCAATTCTAAGGGCACTGTTTTCTGCTTAGGTTGTCTGCGGGACTATTGCGTCAGGCTACATATACCACGGCGCGTCTGGGCATCTACACGAGTTTATTTGAGTACGCGAGCAATCAGTCGAAGTCAGGTGCTCCACCTTCTTTCTTGGCCAAACTCGGGATTGGACTCACTGCTGGTGTCCTTGGCGCTTTCGTTGGAACCCCCACCGAGGTCTGCCTCATCCGCATGACAGCCGATGGCAGGTAAGTCTTTCACCACTCCGTCAACCCTAAGTAGACTTCGAAAGCTTAGGCATTTCACGCGCTCTATTGTATTTCTTCATTCATTACTTCTTGTAAATACAGGTGGAGACAATCGATAGATGAATGCTCTGAATATTTATACGCTCATCCTTTTGAGATCCCATTGTTAGTGCACGGGCATAGTTTTGTTACGAAGTAGCAACTTTCAACAAATCACGCTTGTGAAGTGATGATCAACCTGGAAGTAAATGTTTCAAAATCTAAACTAGATTCGTGCTATTGTGGGTTGCGGAAAGAAAACACAGAATAGGTTGAAAATTGTCATTCTTAAGTGAATAGCTTCATTCATTTGCGGAAAATTGCATATTTCGGGGTCTTATGTCTTTTTCCCACGTTTCAGGTTGCCCATTGCCGACCGACGGAACTACAAGAATGTCTTCAATGCACTCTACCGCATTTTCAACGAAGAAGGGCTCCTTGCTCTCTGGCGAGTATGCTTTCAACCCTCTCATCCCTCATCCACGTTTATTGCCTTTCACTAATTTGAAGCCTGTTTTATATCCTTTCAAGGCCATTTAGCTCCTCAAGTAAACTGAGATGAAGTTATTGTTTGATAGTTCTGATAGGGGACGTGATGGGATTTTCATGAAATATGCATTTGAAAAGAGGGCAACGTTGCTATGTTTCTTACTCTTGTGCTTTCTTCAAATTGTAACATCATAGTACTTTTCTAGAAGCTCCTTAAAAGTCGTAATGTTGGGTTTGTTACTTTGTTGAGAATTGACTTGAGATTCCATTGACAGGGCGCAGTGCCAACCATGGGCCGTGCAGCTGTGGTGAATGTGGCTCAATTGGTTTCCTACTCTCAATTCAAGCAGACCATTCTTGAAAACAGTGAGTTTGCCTTCCATTTCCTCTCTCGACTTGTCGCTATTTTGTCAAACTCCTCTTTTTGCCTCGCACAGAATTGATGCGGGATGGTTTCAATGTGCACCTGACGGCGAGTATGTGCTCGGCACTCATCACCACCATCGCCTCTCTGCCCGTAGACATCGCCAAGACGCGCATTCAAAACATGCGCACCATCAACGGACGACCTGAGTACTCCGGGATCTTTGTACGTTCCACCATACCCATACTACCTAAGTTCGCGGTTAGAGCAATGCAGTAGGGTTACAAGTCTTAGCAATTTTACTCTTCGATCTGCCTTCTTTCACTTCAATCATTCCTTTCAGCTATGCTTTCTTCAGAATTCCTGGGGTTGGTAGCCTCCGATCGTTATCTGAAAAGGGGTTGAATGTCTGTTTGGTACTTGCTTTGTTGAGAAGTTTGTCTAGTGTCCTCTGGACTTGTCAGAACGGAATAAACTATCCGAACAAAATCCAACAAGCATTTAAATACGTGTTGATAATTATTGTCTCTCAGACGATTTATTAATCATATTTAAGTATTTGCCTGTTCTTTGGAACTGTTCGATAAGCACAATTGTACGAGCATTTTAAACCGACTTTGAGCTCTCAGTTGTGGCCATAGTGAAATAACTATTTTAATACCCTTAAATGCTCAGTTACTCTTTACGTTCGTGTAGGATGTGTTGGGTTCGACTGTGAAGTCGGAGGGAGTGTTGGCTTTGTGGAAGGGTTTCACGCCCTACCTCTTCCGTATTGGACCTCACACGGTGCTGACGTTCGTCATTCTCGAACAACTCAATGCTTTCTACAACGTCTACATTCTCGGCAACAAACACTGTGGAGTAAAAAGCGGTCTCTAGTGGCCTTGCCTCCTGTTTCCCTTCTTACTACTACCACCACCACCACCATGTCGACTACTACTTCTACTACTGAGAGCTGTATCCATGAAATAAACCAATTTGAACAATCTACCTAAGTATCTTCTTAAGGCTCTAGCGAGTGTGGTAAATATTGAGTCGGTTCGCAAAAAATGGGGCGCTGTAGATTAAGAAAGTTATTGGCATTGAGCGGAGCACACAATATAATTATAGTACCTCTGGTATTCTTACCTATCTCCCCAGCAGAATAAGCTGCATGAATTTGCAACTCTGTTAATTTCGTGTATCAAATGATTCTGAAACCCAGGATCATATTTTGAAAACACGTCTGAGAAGGGGCTTGTCACTAAATCGAGTTTGATTGGCGCTCTCTGAACTTCATTATGTGTATCCTCATATGACCCGATTGCATTCATTTGTGAACAATTCCCAACTCGAGTTGCTCTTCCAACGCCAGAAATTGCACAAATTTGTGTATCGACATGTTCGCCCTCAACAGCGGTGTTAGGCTCCACTTTCTTTTGCGCAAGGAATGCAAGCATTCTTGAGTCACACGAACCTTGGCAAAATGCAGCTGATCTCTCGGAGGCGAGAATATCACTCATTTGGAAAGTCTCCAATTTTTGGTTAGGTTCTCTCATTTATTGGAACCAAATCGGTTTGGGTTCACATTTTGCTCTTTCGTCAAGGAGGAAATAGATTTCTGAAAAATTGGTAAACATCATCTTTCAATAACTTGATGCACATTTTCCTTCTTTGCGAGAGAGAGAGCAATAAGGAGGCTGCCTCCTGTTTTCTGTCCAATTCGAATTGGTAGGAAACGGCGTGTGCCACCTCAACAACAGTGACTAGTGATTTGAGCGAGTCTGGACAACTTTGTGATGTGATCACATTTTATTTTTCTTAAATTCCAGGTAAACCACCGATGGCAAGCAGGCACATTTTTAGAGTTAAGTTTTCGTTTCTCATAATGGTTTTAGTAGTGCAAATACTAATGTCTAATTAACATCGGTTTTCAGACCTTGATCTGATAATATCTAATGGTTGCGGAGATAGCAAAGAGTTTAGAAGATGCGAATTAAGGATATTTAAAATGACATTAAATGTTTCATGAACCTAAATGCATGTAAACCAGTAATTAGTTATTTGTCAAAATATCGGGAAGAATAAGGTGAAAAGAAAACCGAGAAGCCACATTTTACATTCTCAAGCAACAAGTGCCCCAAACGGCGCGAGAAACAGCAAAAATCAAATTACGGCCTTTGGAGAAAGGGAGAAAGCGATTTGAAAGGAAGCGGCTCTGAGGGTCATGGTTCTTCCCTGCTGTAGAAAACAAAGCAGGGCCGTTGGGAACCCGCGAATCGATAAATAGAGGCTCATTGCCTCCTTGCAATATAACCATGCAAAATGGAGTACCGCAGTCAGTTCACTCAATAAGCAATATTTTTCGCGTGTGGCTTGTGACCGAAATATGAAAAGCTTTTACCCAATGAAAAAGCATCGTTTTATAGATACCGCCTTATGTGAATCCATAATGAAATGCTTGCAAACTTGTCCTCTGCGAAATTTTCTACTTGGTGCAATGGCAAGCGAGTGTTAGGTATTTTGAGTGCTGAGGTTCTTTCCTACACATTTCTGCTAAGTTTATAGAAGATTTAAATAAGCATATGTATTTAGACAAGCTACACATATTCGCCTTAGTTTAAATGCCACATCGAAATATACTCGAGTAGACGACACACTAAGCCCTAACTGACAGCCTGCAACCAATCAACGATGAGCTGGACTCGGTCGCCCACACCTATGGCTACTTGATCGGTTCGTTGTAGGTGATGTGGACATGAGAAATTCATGTATGACTCAGAATTGCTTTGATTCGACCGATTGGAAGGCATTTGACATGCATGCCTCTTTATTCGTAACAAACAATTTTATGCCCAATTCTAGTCAATTCTCAATTTCATTGAGGTCCTAATGTAGCTTAAAGAAGCATAAATTGCTTATCTGTTGGAAAGACTTATCTGTTTCCGCTTCTTCAATATAAAAAGTCCACATTTCAAGGAATATTTGAGCTTCCATAATCTTTGTTCCAGCTTCTAAAAGGCATGTTGACGAGCGAAATGCACTTGCATATTGCGGGGGAGAGGATATAAATGCTGGCTAAGGAAGTCGAAATGCCCGTTGAAAGTCGGGCGGAAGCTGATGGAAAGTAAATTTATGTTGAAGTTGTTTATGTGAGCAGACGACGACAAATTTATCATGCATGATTGTGCTGAAATGGTTTTGTGTGTTAAGTGGAGAATCAAAGCCATAATGTATTTGCAATCGGAAATCATTAGGCCATCGAATGTTAATTTCTTGTTATTCCCCTCGCAACACTGTGATACCGGGTAGCAGGGTTCAAGTGATTTCGCAGACGTTCTCTTCCCAGACGTCTCTTATAGCAACCATTAGCCTAGACAGAAATTTTGATTTTGTGGAGCGTTCGCTATTTGACGAAAGTGAGTTTATTCCACTTTGTTCACAGCCTGCATTGCATTGTGCGACATTGCGGTGAGCGAGAGAGAAGGCCTCTGCATTGAAATTCGATGCCCTGACGCCAACCTCCTTCTCCCCGATCGCCTGCTTCACAACCCTCTCGAGCTGCCTAAGCTGCGCCGCACGTTGCATGAGAAGCGTTCGGTTTTCCCAACTTCGGTAATTGCGAAGTAAATAAAAGTGGAGCCTTCGTATACCTTTTTGATCATGCAGACTTGGCCGTATTTTGAGCGGCAGATTTCTCTTACTAATGTTATGGCTATCACTTTAACGCACTTTTATCTTTGTCAAATTATTAAAATTTGTGCTAATCAATTAGGTAAGGTAATATACTATTCTTAGACATCTTAGGACCTGATAACTATCATTCCGTCTGATCGTTTCACATCCCCTAAGTTACTCATTAACTTGCACCCCCATCCACTTAGTCACATCTCGTTAGAGCCAAGTGAGAGTTGGATGAGAGGTGAGAGATGGGGGGGGGGGGTGGAGGGATTGTATAATACAACCCTGCTACTGTGGCTTCTTCGGTGCTAATGGCTTGAGACACCAAAATCTTGCCCTCCCTTCTCAATGGGCGAAATGCCATCACAAGAACAGGAGGAGAAGGTTCAAAAATCAAGTTTCGTAATTTGCTCACCGGGAGCCCCGAATACAAATACGCAAAAGACGTTGTCGATTGATCAATTTCCCGATTGTGGTAAACGGCCTTGACATTTTTAATTTACTTTTATTTCCTCAAATTGTTAAGAAGGCGAAATAGCCCTGCACGATGCCCTAGAGCTTGAATATGCACATATTAACATGGGGATGAAGGGGTGGGGGGGAGGCTTGCAGAACAACGTAAAGTGCGATCACACAAGTGCACTCACTTCAGAATAGTCACAGAGGTAGCTTTTAAAGGTCAAAATTTAAAGTGTGACTATCATTCAATAGGTCCTTGAGACGACCTTAATGCTGTGTGATAAATGGATTTTAAAAACAATGCAATTTTGATGTTGTTCTCTAACCCTACTTTACCTTTTCATTGTCAGGTAACAGAAATAACGTTGTAAATATTACCACAACATGCTAACTTTTAACGAAAGTTGTCTTCACTTAAAATCCCTTTCTAACATTCTGAAATCTGTAGTGAGGGGGCGAATTCTAGTTCACTGTCACAGCCTCTTATCTCAATCGATTGAAAGATCTTCTTTTTCTCATTTTAAATTTGTCTAATATCCATCAATTCCATAAATTTCAGATTAGAGATTGAATCGCGTTTACATATTTGACGATAATTACCGAATTTTTACAAATGACATGTGAACATCCTGGACTACTTTTACCGTTTTCCTTACAACGCCAATTCTCGTGACCTGCTTGCATGAATTCGAATGGCTTCGCTTGAACGAAAATTAATTTAACTCGTAGGCCGTGGGCCCATTAGTAGTTTTAAACCCGCTTCCTTTGGAGTAATAAATCGCATCTGGCCGAACCACAGGTGACACCCGCAATTAAATTCGTTGTGTTCTCTGGTAATATTTTACACCTTGTACAGCGATCACGTTCTGGAGAATGTGAATAAATATTTGGCTAACGACAAAACTTAGTTTTGCGATTTCATTTGATTTTAATGTTTAAAATACTGAAATTGTCTTCAGTTTTGAATGTCAATCTTGAATTTCAGAGTTAAAGTTGCTACAATGAATTGATACATGATTAGGACTCTATTTGAGTTTGGTAATCGTCATGGCGTGGTCTGCTGGTTTGGAATCACTCCCACATCTACACGATGCCCGGGAAACAGACGTGTTGCCTGGAAAACATTTTTTGGGTTGTGTGTGAGAGCATTTGTCGAGCGTCTTCTGTACTCGTGAACTCATTTGCTCCCTGGTGTGATTAATTATCGTTGCTTTAAATGGGCTCAAAGTGGATCGAGCTTTGAACATACATGGCCATGAATAGCCAAATCCAAGGAATTATGGGGAGCCAAAAAAATCTATTCAATCACTTGTTGAGAGAGATCGAGGTGATTTAGACGGATGGGTTGGGGCAACGTCAACTATTCAGCCCCATCGCTATTCTTTTACTTAACTGAAACGGTGGCAATCCTTTTCCTTTAACTATCTTCTTCTGCTTTCGTTTGAATAATATTTCGAAAATTTCAACCTAAGTATTTAGCTTTCCTTAATATAAATCCATTTCTCGTCAATATTTGTTTCATTAATTTTATTAATGTATTAATAAATTTGCCTCGTAAACAAGATAAGTCGATTCATTTAAATTTAATTCCAAGACTGTGAGTTAGTGGGCTTTTAAGCAGGATTGAGATAGATATTTTGTAAATTGCAAGACGCAATTTATTGTCTAAAAACCGCGCGTAGAGTCGAATCGGAACGCCTTTCGCGATTCGGTAAAATCTTGCAATTTTTGCTAAAGTGAGGTATCTAACTTGAAGGAATTTAGTTTATCGGCATTCGACTTAGAAGGAGAAAGATATGAAGGCAAATCTTTCCTTCCATTCAAAACGCCTTTCAGGAGTAAAAAATTCTGTTTATGTTCAGCTACCGAGATTTCTTTTGATTAGGGTTATTGAGATTACTGTAATGACAGTTAAGACTGTCATCAAATCTGCAAACGACAGCATCTCAAAGATGTCAGATATTCCATCTTCTGGCACATAACCAGCAAAATTGAGCCCTTATTTTCGGATGCACAAATATTTTATGTTCCGGGTTAGTGGTGAATTATAAGAGCGGATAACATTTGTGCTGTTGTCTGCACCTACAACGCAATAATCATCATATTCTCAGATTTACAAGGAGGATTTGGAATTATCAGAAAGGACGCCAGTATTCTCCAACTCTGTTTATTAAATCCAGTTCAGATGAAATCTAAAGCATGCAGCTAAAGCGGGTGTGACAGAGAGGATAAGTGTGTTTTGTCAGTTTATTTCCGAGTGAGACGTTTCTTAGGTCCCCTGCTCCTGACTACATTTTAACGACAATCTGATAAAAATTAATCTTGAGAATTGGCAAATAGCGTCCACCTGCAATCTATTATGATGCAAAGATGAATCGGCTTTTAAGGTTTGGCTCCTTTAAAGTGTAATGATATCCATCCTTGTATTTAGCTCGTCTGACTTTTGAGAGACCAGGAATTTTTGTCAGTCTTTAAATGGCAGTGAATTTGATTGCTAAAATTTGCTGCTGCTAAGTTTGATACTGTATTTGCAGTTGAGATGCTTCTGTGAGATTTGTTACCAAATTTTTATAAGTTCACGTTTGCCGGGCTTCTCTCTTGTGAGCGGAAGGTGCTAACTCATTCAATTTGTAGAATTGCAATCACCAAGGATGAAGAGTTCTTGGTAATTTGCTGGAGAACTGCTTTGCATCATATTCCGTTTTGGGGATGGCTGTTGAGTAAGACGAATCATCGTTGCCATTTTGATGAGGATCGAGTTATCCCTCACCTCCTTCTTGTTCCTCTGGCTCTTCAGAACCTCCTTTCAGTTGGTTATTGAGGAGTCACTTGCTGTCTCCCAATTCTGACCCCTCCGAATGCTCCAAGATAGCAAATTGGAAATTGTGCTTTCTAACTGGTTTTTTTTGGCAAGAGCGGTTCAATATCTCGAGAAAAAGTTAAAACTTTTCAGTAAAGACCTAAGTTAAGAAATATGTTTTGCGTCTAGTTATTAATAAATAAGAGGAATGTGGAATGGTTTATTCTTTTACGTCAGGCAAAATGGTTTTAATCTGGTGTTAGGGTAATAGAAATAATACTTAGTTATGTAAAGTTGTTTGAATGAATCACTCAACGGGTCTAGTGCCTCCTCTTCCCTCAGGCAGAAAACCCCCTCCAAGGAAACCGAAAGTAATTTTTGTTTACTTTAAGGACCTGTCGTCGATCACACCCAGTGAATATTTGGGTGGAGTTAACTCGAGTGCTCCCTGGAATTAAATCTTTTTTATTTTTTTCTCATTGGTCTTCAGCCTACTTGG